CTATTCATAAAAGTATTCATTCTTGCCTGCAAGAATGAAATGTATGGAGATTTGCAACCTTAATGTCAGTGTCATTGGGGTGGAGGGGCTTCCAATTTGTAAAAAAAGAAATATACTTCCTTCTCCCAGATCACAGCCTGCAGGACAGACTAACCTCTGAGAACACAAAAGTTACCCATCTTTATTTTAGGATTTCTGGATCTCTTTCTAGTCATTCAGCAGCATCATTCCCCATGCTGAGACAGCCATGAGCCTCTAAAATGCAGAAATGCAGGGCTGCTGCCCTTTGCCCAGATTGGTGCTGACATCCAGGTGATATATGAGCATCATTACTCTCTCACTGGAGTGGCTGCCCTCCTACCAGCCCTCCAGAGGTGCCTGGGACCAAACCCAAGAACAGCTCTCCCTGAGTGAATGGAAATATTACATACGTGTCATTGGCCTTCCCCCAAAGTCACGCCTGTCACAGGAATGGAGGTGCTTGCTGTAAGAATCCGGGTGGAGATTACAGATGCCGTAGGCTGCTTCTCTCTAGAGGCTCACAAATGAACACTTTTTCCTGTGAGGTCAGACATATTTGCTCTTAGCAGTTTCTTCTCTTCGGGCATCTCCACAGCACAGACTGACATTGGTTGAGTAATCTCTCCCCCTTCCTCTAAGAACTGCATTTCATTTGGGGGAAGCGGGTGAGGGAGAGATTTTGGATGGAATCAGCACACTCATAATCAAACTATTAATTTCAGGGAGAAGTCATAATGGCTAAACTGGTATTTTTAAAAATAAAACTGAACCAGTTGTCCATTCCATTATATCTGCTGCTGCACTTGAGAACCATTGTCTTTCTCTTTAAAACAGTGGATTTTTTTTATATTGAAAAAGAGGGCAATGTTAGGGACTGGGTAGAATTTATTATTTGCTGTCCTTTGTTTATTCAAATATACCTAACAGACTGTGGCCAAGAATCTTTATGATACAGCATAGAGCAGCGGTTGGCAAGTTTTTCTTACCTGGGGCTGGTTTGCTGGCCGCCAGGCCCTCCACGGGCCGAGGAGGGGGGAAATGGCAGTGCGCGTGTGGCCCTCACCAACCTCTATCACCGCCGTGCGCGTGCTACTGCCATGCTGCCACCACACGCGTTGCGGCTGCCATTTTGTTTTCCATAATGGCGGCCGCGACTTGTTAATAATAATAATAATAATAATAATAATAATAATAATAATAATAATAATAATAATAATAATTTTTATTTATATCCCGCCTCTCTGCCAGGCAATCGGGGTGGCGTACAACATTACAAAACTTCAAAACAATAAATCAGCCAGATGCCCCATATCCACCCTTATGGGCTGCAACAGGAGCCTGCAAGAGAATGCCAGCAACAGGTGAGGTTGCGGTAGCAGTAGCAGCTCTATGGCATGGCAGCAGGTATGCATTTGAACACCTGCCCATCACCACACCGGACCAGGTAAGTGCTGGGACAGGAATGGGTCAGATGCATGGGCAGAATACAATGGGGTTTGCCCATCTTATCCTGCCTGTGTGTTTAGCCCCTATGCCAACAGACCATATCAGAATCAGACAATTAAAAAAAAAAATCAAATACATTTGATGTACCCACCACCAGAAAATACCTGAATTAAAAAATCCCTGCAACTCTTACTAAAGCTTAGGAAAATTGGTTAAAACCACTACTGATATGGGTTTACATGAGATAAATATTTTGTGATTATTTTTATTTTTATTTTTTTGGTTTGCAGAAACTTGAAGAAGACATTAAAGCCTTTTTTTTTAAGTCATGGAGTTCATTGGTTCAACTGTATATGTCACATGTGGGTGTCCAAATAGTAGGATAGGGTGTCCATCCAGACATACAGCAATTAGTTTTAAAATATTTTGGTTTACATTGGCTGGGTCTCTTCTGCCATCAAACATCAGGCCATCTTCTTAAAATGAGTTTGGATGAGCCAGCTGGGGCCACCTCTAAAGAGTAGTGTGGCTTTCTTTATCAAAATAAAACCAAATTCCTCACAAAAAGTCTGTGGACTCTTAAAGCTTGGCTCAAGGTAACAGGGTGTTGCCTTGTCATTTGCAAAACTGATTGGCAGGATTGCAGGCGGTTGTGAGCCAAGAGGTGAAGTACCCTGGCAGATTGGTGGAGGAGCTCAGAACTGGAAAAGCAAGCAGGCTTACAAGCCAAAACTGAATTGCATTCTTCAGAGACCTATGAGATGAGGTCTGACTTGCAAAGGAGGGAAGGGGGATTCATTGCTAGGAAAGAAGTGTTTTTTTTTTTTCCAGAGAGGCTTGAAAGAAAACTAGGCGACAACATTGGGCTCCACGTTTCCACCTGTGCATGGTGCCAAGGGTCTGCAGCATTGCCAGGGTTTGCATGCTCACCTGGGATTGCTGAGGCTTTAGTTTCAATTGAATTGGGGAACTGAGTGTTAAGACATAGGAAATGATGGGTTTAGCAGAGGTCCAGAACCTGAAGGATGGAAAAAGTGGTTGCACGATGGGTTTATTGAAAATATATACTGACTTCCTTGGGAAGGGGACAGGAAGAAAGTGGTATAGAGATCTGTCATTATGGCTAACAAATCTCTACACATGCAACCCTTTGGAAATCTCCTTTTAGAAGAATGGCCAATCTTGTCAGTGCTAGTCAGTTCCATCTTCAGTGTGGTCTTCTCCCATTAAACAATGAGTGTGGTTAAAATGAGTTAAGAAGACCTGAATTTACTAGGTCAAAGCAATCATCACAAACATGCATCACAACTCCCTAAATGCCTTATTACTGTTTAGTAGGTTGATTAGCATAGCTTTGAGTCTGATATAAGTTTTCACAAGAATGTTTATCTCTACAGGGTCTTCTTGTAAGACTGTAAATACAAACTACCTGGCAATACAGATGGGGCAAATTTGTTTGCTTCAGTTTTGGTATGAGACCTAATCTGCGCTTACTCAGCTACTACATAAACTGGAATACACTTAACTTTTGGTTTTTACAATCCTCCAAACGTTGTTATAGAGTTTTCAGGTAACAAACAATGTCTACCAAAATACATACACTGGGGAAACTTGCATTAACATGGCACATATTACAGAATAATGCGTACAAAAAGGCATTTATTAGGAAGAATGCTTGCAAAAACATTGTGAATATCGGAGGAAATGAAAAGGTGTTAAAAGGTGGACAAACTTTTTGTACTTACAAAGCCATTTACAAACTAACATGGAAATAGGATAGAATCAAAATTAGCTTGAAAACTTGTCTGCATGTGTGTGCTTGTATGTGCTTTCAAATTGCCTGTCAACTCATGGTGATCCCATGAATTTCCTAGGCTTTTCTCAGAGAAGGAACACTGGCAATGGCAAACAGAGGTGGTTTGCCATTGCCTTTCTTTGAACACAGTGTAGGGCACTTGGTATTTCTTGGTGGTCCCCCTTCTAAGTACCAACAGACATGACTCTTCTTAGCTTCCAAAATTGGTCCCTTCCAAGATTTTCCTCTGGAAAATATATGAAAGCTAATAATAGAAAAACCAGACATTTGTCCATCTGTACCTTCTAATTCATATGAGTAAAAATATCCTAATTAACAC